AGCAAAAGATGAGACATCTTTCTGACACAAGAGTTTTCACTAAAAGTATTCTAGATATATTATTCTAAAAACTTGCGCTATAGCTGCACCGCTTTACTCTAACTTAGCGTGATGTATAAAGAATAATATAAGACTCCTTTTAAGCTTCCACTGGTTAAGAAAAGATGGGACATCTTCATAACCTGTCAGCAAAAGATGAGACATCTTTCTGACACAAGAGTTTTCACTAAAAGTATTCTAGATATATTATTCTAAAAACTTGCGCTAAAGCTGCACTGCTTTACTCTAACTTAGCGTGATGTATAAAGAATAATATAAGACTCCTTTTAAGCTTCCACTGGTTAAGAAAAGATGAGACATCTTCATAACCTGTCAGCAAAAGATGGGACATCTTTCTGACACAAGAGTTTTCACTAAAAGTATTCTAGATATATTATTCAAAAAACTATATAGCGCTATAGTATTATAGCTGCACCGCCTTACTCTAACTTAGCGTGATGTAAAGAATAATATATAAGACTCCTTTTAAGCTTCCACTGGTTAAGAAAAGATGGGACATCTTCATAACCTGTCAGCAAAAGATGGGACATCTTTCTGACACAAGAGTTTTCACTAAAAGTATTCTAGATATATTATTCCAAAAACTATAGCGCTATAGAGTATAGTGCATGTAAGAGTTTTCACTAAAGTATTCTAGATGTTATTCCAAAACCTATAGCACTAACTGTACCGCCTTACTCTTACAGTAGCCTAAGCCTTAATTAGGTGTTTTACGGCCGCGCCTGCTAGTGAGGTAAAGAATAATATAAGCGTATAAATCAATTCGTACAAAATATAAGTGCTGCCTGTTGAAAATTTCATTTCTATACCCATATTAAAATTTAAATAAAGCCCACGTGCTACCCATGCATGCAATCAATCAGTACCAGAGTCGTGCTATTCTCCTGGACGTATCTGAGTCTATAAACATTTTTCATTGTTTGCTTAATAACTTGCACTCATCCATTAGGAAGGTTAAAGTGCACCTTTTTGCAATGTCTGGTTCAGCGCATATGTCCCCCAACTTTTCAAGTTCTTTCCAGCAAACAAATTTGCCAACTTTTTGGACTACCAAGCCAAAAGAATACATATCGCTCGAAGCTGTCTGCGGCTCACTTCCGTCAACAATTTCAGGGGCAATGTGACTGTGATTTTTTTTATATTTAAGCTGCTCATCTTTCGAAAGCTTGTAAAATTTTCCTTCTTTCATTGCACATGCTTTGCCAAAGTCTATTAGCACAGGCTTCAATTGCGTATTCTCTCCATAGAACACGATATTATCGCTCTTAATATCGTTGTGTAAGATGCCATTGTCATGGATGTAGCTCAAAGTCTCTGCAAGTTTTATAGTGATTGATATTGACTTGGACTGGTCGAGCTTAAACTCCGCATTAAATTTGTCAGAGTTTAAAAGTTCAAATAAAGTTGTATTACTCATGTCAATACCGTAAAACAAAGTAACCATCATAAAAGGATTCCTGGACAAATCAATTCCCAACACGAAAGGAACTCCAGGATGTGAAAGACGAGATAAAATACCTGCTTCTTTCATAACCGCTTCCTTCGAGACTTCTTTTCTGAACTCTTTTGTCACAACTAACTGTCCCTGATACATTTTTATCTTGCATTTACCAAATGCACCTTTTGCCAACTTTTTATGGTCTTTGACATGAGTTAGGTGGTCACGGCTAATCGTCTTCATCTTACCGTCTGCACCTGGTCCCTATAATATGACATGAATATACAATATAATTATAAAGTTACACCTTGCAAATAAAATGTGAATAACTTGCATACATGTTCCAAAGACGCAACATATATTGAACGCTTACAGTCTTGGTACTTTGCCATGTGTCGCTTCTTTTTGCCGCTTTTTGCCATAAATTCAAATATTTCCTGGCAATAGCTTTATATCGTTGTGCTTCAAGTGATGCTACTTTCGCATTCTCAAGCCCCTTTTCTCTCTCCTCCTTTAACTTTTCTCGCATTTGCCGCTTTTCGCTTTTCCTTCGCTTGTTCCTATCTCTTCGCATTGCTCGTTTCTCTTTTAAAGTATTTTCTCGCGATTGCTTTTTGGCCTCGTCTCCTGAACTCTCCATACTGTTACTTTTAAAGTATATAAGGAAAGGCAAGGGCGCATTTGATGCAAAAGGTTTCAAGTTACATTTAAAGTCCGACTCTTTAAAGTCCGGCTATTTCCTGTTCTGGTTTTCAGCAAAAACCTGAGTATCAACCTACATTTTGCCGTAAATTATCATGAAATTATGAGATTGCTGACGTACCAATTCCAAGATACGTACGTGAAAACCGAAATTTCTATCCTATCAATTTTGACTAGAATCGTTTATTTGGCACCAGAACAGTGAAAAGGAAATCGGTAATTTGATCGTAAATTTAGCATGCCAATAATAGAAACACGTGTTACAAATAGCTCTGTTACTCTCTGTCTCGCTCACTTGGTTAGCTGCACGGTTTCCTCTGCACAATCTACAAAAGCAAAAATAGTCCGTCAGTATGGTCTCAAATAGATTTAGTTGTTCTGTGGGGTGTTTAAGATGTTCAAGACGATTCAAAAGCTCTGGGGCTACATGGCGACATATGTTGAAGTCTCACGAACTCGCTATTCGACCTGTTCAGTTTTTCAACGAAAATAACTCACTCGTGACTGTAGTAAATCCTACTCTTATATCACCTCAATCGATTCAGTACGCGTCTTACACCGGAATGGTTGGTTACCGTCCAAGAACGAGTAAATGAAGCATTGCATCCAGCTCTACCAGGTATTATTAATACTATATATCGGTGATGTTTATGATTATTCAAACGCATTAAGCATTTTGTTAACTTGTTATAGCTTGTTAACTGTTAGTTTGCGCGTTCCACGTTTAGCGTCTAGCGAGGCATGTACCTGGCTTAATTAAGTTAACAGCTTTACTTTTAAATTTTATATTTTACTTTTATATTTTAGGACGATGGACGAGAGTAGAAGACCCGTGTGTCCCAGAAGAATTTGTGCTTCATTTCTTAGCAAGAATTCTGGACGAAACTGACCAGGTTATATCACCCCACAGCATAAAGTACCTGAGTCACAGAGGTTTACCGTACAAGGCTCAAACGCAAAAGATATCATACCGATTATATGATTTGGTTGCCTTGCAATGTGCTCTCGAAGAGCAGAAGACGATTCAACTGTGTCAATCCGCCGCATTTCGGCATCATGAAAAAGTTCAGACGGCTGAAAATAGAAAGAAGCTTTCTATGAAAGAAAAAATTGAACGGATGAAAGCTTCTGCGAACGTAAGATACTCTGAAAGAACTGAACTTCCAACATCACGCAGCTCGCTAGTCGTATCAGTGGGTGAAGGAAGGTCGACCAGAGAAGCAGAAATTATTTATTGGCCAAGTCTGTATGACGTTTCAAAGCGCTGCAAATTTCAATTGCGATTTTTTATCCAGAAATGTGACTACCAATGATTTCTCAGTACACAGATATGACATGCAGTCATATAAAGACACGCGTCTACAGTTTAAAAACTATTCACAAACTTTTATATATAAGCATTTTTGCAAACTTTTTTTAAAGTTAATGTTGTTCACCATTATCTCTATATACCTAGTACGTTCAATAATGCTGTGCACCATCAAGTTTTATATATATTTTTTATAATATAGCATTTGTAAATTCTGAACGCTGATTGGCTAAGAGGCGTGTTGATATAATTCAATGTCAACACGGAAAATTTCTTTCTTTATATCTCTTTGTGCTATATTATAAAACAAATATACTGAAACATTTTTTTCCTTATTGATATATATATAGTTATATCAACACTCGTGGAAATTGGGAAAACTCGAAATTGTGTGAAAACACTCAGCCCTTCGGGCGTCGTGTTTCCACACAATTTCTCGTTTTCCCAATTCCCACTCGTGTTGATATAACTGCATATCAACATGGAAAATGTTTTATACTTGTTAAATAATACATTATGGCACAAAAGAAATATAAAGAAAGAAATGTCCGTGTTGACACTTGACACTGAATAAAATCAACACGGCTTTTAGCCAATCAGCAGTCAGAATTTACAAATGCTACATTATAAAATATAATATTCATATATAATTGTGTTGTGTCATAAAAGTTAAATAACATGAAGTTTCTGTATTGTCCACATGAAAATTTCCGCTGGCAAATTAAACAAAGTTCCAACCAGACTCAAATACAAAGCAGAGAGTTTAGCTAAATTTGCTAAAATAGATTCTGAAATAGTGCGTTAGTCGTTCCGAGGAGTCGTTCGAAGTTTACGCGATGAAATTTTAAAATACATTCCAGTGTACTAGCAAAGCAAGAAGGGACTCCGAGCAAGGTAATCATCGTTATTAGAAATATATAAACAATAGAAAAGTATAAATTCATTTTATATCTGCTGTGTTGGTGTAATGTCAGTCAGGTGACTGAAGATGCGTGTGTGATGTTACTCTGAGTGTATATCCACACCGGGCAGGCTTGAAAAATATGCCTGGCCACGGTGGAAATCGAAGCTCAGTTGGCAGAGCATTGGGCTAGTATTCCAAAGGTCGTAGGTTCGATTCCTACCGTGACTAGGCATGTTTTTCAAGCCTGCCCGGTGTGGATATACACTCAGAGTAACATCACACACGCATCATTTTATATCATTAGATAAACAATTTTATATATGACCAGAGTGGTCAGTGACCGACTGAGCGACTGGTCTATTTTAGTAATTAACTAAGCTAACGTGACTAGTATAAAATAATGGTGAACCTAGGAAACAATGCTAACTGGAAAATTCATAAAAACCCAAAGCATTTTGGGTCACGTCAAATTTAATATTTTTGAAAACTCACCCAGTCACCCTCACAGTTCCAATTTCAATAAACATGTGGATCTTTGAAGTATATACATGATGACATGATGTACCCAGTCTGTACTTCAGCGGAATAGCTAGCGATAGGTTGTAACAGAACACTTTGGAGGCCATCATAAGTGTACCATCTTTTATTGTAGTGGATTCGTGCATTAAAATGATTTCCATTCCAAAATGTAACCCCTATGAGTTGATAGGTTGACGTGGATAGCTCAAGCCTTTCTGGAAGATCACCTGGCTTGAGTTGACATGCCATTGTCAAGTCAGCAAGGAAAATTGGCAAAACCCACGGGGTACCATTTGTAAATGCTCTTGCCTGGGAAGTACGTAAACCATCACAAATTACAGAACGATACCAAATGTTGTCTGGCAGTGCAAGACGATCTTCACTCATTCTAGTTCGAGCACTTGTTGGTGGAATATTGTTAAATACAGCATCACATTTTGTGACTTCTGGACAAAGCCACTTGTTAAAGATTGCCTCAAATTTTGTTTCATTTTTTTCTTTTTCCACATCTCCTGAAATAATGAAAATTGCTCCAGACTTGATGTGTTTGTTTTTCTGAGGACAACCTGCTGAATCACATATGGTTTCAAGGGAATTCTGCAAGATTGGAGCTAAGCATGGCATAAACATGTCCTGTTCACTGCCCCAAACATCTACAGTGGATGACTTTGAAAAATCAAACGTTGCAAACTGTTGGAGCCAGTGGACTTTTCCAAGGGCAAACTCTCCTTTCCGGAACTGGGAAACTGTCTCGGATAAATATTGGGCATATTGGGCAGATGAAAGTGCCAGCTGGTTATACATATCAGGATGGAGGTTAAAATACAGGTAAAAAATTGTCAAATAATTGTCTATTGGACATGTGTTTATCAATTTCACCTGTATGTTGCCATCTAAATTTGCTGTACCAGCCCATCTTGCCACTGGTAGAAGATCTTTTTGACCATTGTTTTCTATACCGGTACTAGTATAACTGTCATTAAGAGAGCATCGTGCCTTCGGTTTGTTACCAGTAGTGGTCAGGTGTACTTGCTTGATTCGTTTGAGTGGTAATTCATCATCACTGTCCATTGAATCATAGTTTTCTTCCCATGTACTATGATCATAGGCTAACTTGGGCCAAGAATCTTCATGAACAACAACACTTTTATTCACTGTTCGAAATGTAAAGTTGTCAGGTCCAAACATATCATCGAACAGTGTGGTTGTTTGAACAATCCATTTCAGATCCTCCATTGACCAATTTAACTTTCTTGGTTGCCAACCACAGCCACGAAAGTAAAACTCTTGATCTGTAAAAAACAAAAATATATTTACTATTTTAATACATACTTATAATTCTTGCTTTACTGTACTACCAACTGAAGGCACATACTTAGGCAGATACAGTCCTTGAAACTCCCGAAATTTCAGGTCGGCAAGAAATTGCCGACCTAAAAGCGATAATTCTCAATCTAGATCGGCAATTTAGTTTGCTTGCTGCAAATACATGTATTTATAAACAGCAATTAATTGCAATCAATGCCAATATAGGAAACAAAACAACAAACAAAATGTATGAGCTCCAATCAAACAGTGCATGCATGTTGTGACCAAATGTTGTCAGTGACAGACCATACACTACTTTATTACCATGCTATACTTTTGCTTAAATCTTGAAGCTCAATGATTTTAACACGTATGTTTACTTTTCAAAGTTTTCAACAATGAAACTGATTGCAGTTATCACTCGGCATTTAGGGCGGCATTGCTGAATGCCGACTTGAGTTTCAAGGACTGCAGATAACAGATTGAGTAAAATAATGAAGTACAGTGCATAAGCTGGTTGCATTGTATATAGCTAAATGAGTTATTAACTGTCTGCAGGATGAAAATGCCTTAGTGGGTACAATGAAATTGCAGTAGTCATAGTGATAAACAGTTAACTTGAAAAATGAACAATACATTGACCAAACTATATACCTGTAACAGTATATTCATTTTGTTACAGGATATTCATTACATTTACATTCATCGTCCGAGGAAAAGAACATTTTGTGATTCATCTCTGGTAAGCACTACATGTAATTGACATTTATTGTATTTCTTTTTTTGCAGGATAAATTCCATAAATTATGTCTTGTTTATTAATTTCCCTTACAGTATTTCAATGTGTTTAGTTAAGAAAATACTTTGATCCTCAGTCCTCACCTTCTTTAGCACTTTCAGCCGCCTTTCTAAAACACATTCTTAGGAAGAGCAATTTGTCAGTGTAGTGATGAGTCAAGATCTGTTTCACTAAATGTAGGAAAATCAATTGTGATATATATTTATACTTTGTTCTTGTAAATTCCAAGAGCATGCCAAAAAATTCCCTAATAATATATTTATTTCTGGTCTGCTGGGTTAAATTTACAGTTCTGACAGTACATATTATGTTCATATTTTCATAGCAAAAACAGTAATTATGCAAGAGTCTGGCATTGCAATTTCTTCTGGGTAGGGGTGAATAGGGGTATACAAATTCGCCGATCCACCCAAATTTGAAGCAAAATTTGAATAAATTTGAATAAGTTTGTCTAAATTTGAATCCGCTAAAAGCTCTACTATGAAGTCACAAGGCAGGATCCGAACTAAATTGCAAGCTAAATCCACAATCCGAGCCAAAATATTAGATAAATCCGCAATCTGCTGTGTTAATAAGATCCGCAAATCTGTGTAAAACATTTGCCAGATCCGAAATCCGAACAATTTTTTTTGTAAAATCCGACGATCCAAAAACCTATTCACCCTCCCGGGTAGGCAAAATTTACATCATTGGTTTGGTTACCTGATGATTGTTCTTTAAAAATGTCATGGTTCGTAGCTTGTTGATAAAGTCTGCGATCTACTTTATGCGAACTTTCAAAGCCTTGGTTGCTGAATTCCCTCATTGACCCAAAAGTTCTCATCAGCATTGAGGCATGTTCGATGACAAGATGTCCATAGTCACCAGTTCCAAGAAGTGTTCCAAATGTTTCCCGTAAATTAAAACCCCATTCTTTACACTACATCAATGAAATGACAGGAGAAACTGATAGTTTAAACTTTACTTTAAACTTTATAAAGTAAATATAACAATCTAATGTACAATTTCCTTGCATGTACAATCAATCATCCATCCCAATTTCCTACATTTTTCCTATAATGTCCTATTTTGTGCACTACCGTAGCACTATTTTGTGCACTACCGTAGTACGTATAAGGTGCACTACCATACAATTACAGTACGGTAGTGCACTTTCTTTCCTCAATGTAGTTTTTGTCACATTACAGGTGGCGTGGTGTGGTGTGATGATCCTTGAAGTTGAATATACACACAGGTATTACACATTTTCTACTCTTAATTATTACACATTTTCTACAATTAAAACTGACCTGTATATCAAAAACATCGATCCCATCAGCATCGTCCTCCTGATAGATTCTATCACGCATAATAATGGCGATGTCTTTCCACATGGTTCCGATCTAAAGTTATAATATTACAAAAATCGTACAACACAATTATTTAATCTGCATACCATTATATGCACGTACTGTATGATGATTTAATGAGATTT